TATTCGACTAGTGTGCTGTGGGTCACTTTGCGGTCGATGCGCGGGCTCTTACAACTAAAATAAAATACTAATATTTTGCAGGCTTGATGTTGACTTCATGATACAATATATTTTCACTATTACCAAGGGATCTGAGAAAAATTAGATTTTCGACCCGCCCTAATGTACATACATATATTATTAAGCATTAGGGTGGCCCGTTTTGGATTGATTAAATAAATGAAATATTGCAATGTGGGTATCAAACTAAAGAGTTTTAAGAAGACTTACAATCGAAAATATGTTTGAGGAACAATATGGGTGCCAAACGAAATGTATTTGAAAAATCATGATTTGGAAATATTTTTTATAGGATTATCACCTATCTAAAAGTAAAGACTGAAAATATTGAAATTAAATGAAATATTACATAACTGGTTCCAAACGAAAAGTATTTGGGAAAGCTTTACTAGGGAATTTTTTTTAATCTTTCCACTTATCCAAAATCCGAACATTGTAAATAAATATAGAATTTACAACATCTTATCAAACGAAGTGATCATATTATCAACGAAGAGCTGGAACACAAATTACTTAATGTAAAAAATTCATAAACAACTAATTTTTAAGCAAACAAGACACCGACTCCAATTCTCATATAAAAGTGTAATAGTACCGTTAATTTTTTCATGATCCAATGATCGGATCTAAACCAAATTGGTATGGGATCACCTGGAAACCCGTTGACGTGGTCCAAAGTTATGCGGTAACATGCATTAAAAAAAATCCGACGAATTGAATTTTGAAGTCGGCTAAAAACTACTGAAACAAATAACAAAATGATAAAAGAGTACCGAAAACAAAAAACTATCGCATGAAAGCTGTTTAAAAAATACTTAATGAAAACATAAAATTGTTGACACCATTATAAATCAGTCAACTTTTAATCGTAAGCAATTTCGTTTGGGGTCGCCAAGGCCTACTACGTATATTGCGAGTAAAGAAATTTTGAATAACATGAGATAATATTATTATGATTATGATTATCATTACTATTGTGAACTCTTATTCCCAATCAAGGATTCCCAAATTAAAGCGAAAGCAGAAGAGCATTTACGATCGCAAGATGCAAATGTTAAGATAATAAGCGCTGCAGAACTGAACCATGTAGGAACATTTTTTTACAAGAGCGTGTAGTTTCTGACGTGTGCCGATGACAACGACATCAACGGTAACAAAAATAGCGAAGTCTATTCCGCCTTTTCCAAGCTGGATAAGGAAGCAAAGCGAATGCGCCTGGTGGTAAACGAGGACAAGACGAAGTATCTCCAGTCACCGCGTTCGCGCCTTGGAACCCACGTCACTGTTGACAGTTATAATTTCGGGAAAGTGGAGAATTTTATTTACTAGGGAACCAGCACTATCACCGATAAAAATATCAGCATGGAAAACCCACACAGAATTACTCTTGCCAACAGGTGCTGCTTTGGACTGAGTAGGCAATTGGGGAGTAAAGTCCTTTCTCGACGTACAAAAACCGCACTCTATAAGTCACTCATCATGCCCGAGCTATTATATGCCGCAGAAGCTTAGACAATGACAACATTTTATGAGGCGGCTCTTGGAGTATTCCAGAGAAAGATCTTACGGAAGATATACAGGCTTCTACGCATGGGCGACGGGGGTTGCCGTAGACGATGGAACGATGAGTTGTATGAGCTTTACAACTAAATATACATAGTGCAGCGAATGAATATAGAGCGGCTCCGCTGGATTAGACATGTCGTTCAATAGGAACCGAAGTTTCAGGTGTAAAAGAATTCAACTCGCAAGCCGATGGTGGTAGCAGACGAATAGGAAGCACCTATTGCAATGGAGAGACCAAGTTGGCACAGAGACAAATGACTGGCGTTCTTTGTGGAGCTCGGCCATAATGGCTTAGGCGGTTACAAAGCCAAAGCAGAAGAAGAATATGCAAATGATAAATGACGGAGTTGGGGGACCATTTTCTTGGATGCGCCAGGAGGAACTAGGAAAATATTCCTTATCAGATGGATTCTGGGAACGGTTCGATCTAAAAATTACATTACCTTAGCTATCGCTTCGTCTGGAATTGCTGCGACATTATTACCAGGTGGAAACATTGCCAATTCAGCTCTTTAGCTGCCATTGAACATATAAATCATCGAAACTCCCACGTGCAATATTTCCAGAGCATCCGGTATGGAAAAAGTTTACCAAAAAATTAAATTCATTGTTTGGGATGAGTGCACCATGGCACATAAAAAATTGTTTGAAGCTTTTGATCCATTGTTGCGGGATTTGCGTGGAAACGTTCATCCATTCGGGAATGCACTAATATTGCTCGCAGGAGATTTTACGAAAACATTGTCTGTAGTTTCTCGATTAAGACGAGAGATAAATGCTTGCCTGAAATAGTCAACGTTGCGACAAGACGAGCATACATACACTGCAGCTGAAGTATTCGCGCGACAATAACTGGACATTGGGAACGCAAAGCTGCCAGTCAATGAGATTAAGACGAATTTTATGGCCTGATAATTTTTGTAAATTAGAAACATCGAAAGGAGAACTGATCGAAAGAATGTTTCTTTATTAAGAAAATTAATTTTAGGAATCACAATTGGCTCAGTGAACAGGCTATTCTTGCTGCGAAGAATAAGGAGGTCGATCAACTAAATAATAGTGGTATTGACAACAGTCGTTGCTTGAGCTGATCAGCTCTTTTACCAGACTGTCAGACCACTTGCTCACTTTGGTGAGTACCACTAATGTTATTCAATCCAGCATTCAACGTGAGTAAATAGCATATACGTCGATAAACCTCGTTGTGGAAAAAGACCATCCAACGAAATTTTTGAACTCGATTGATCTTCCAGGGAGACCCCACATACCGAAATTGAAAATAGGTGTGCCAATTTTCATTTTGCGGAATATTAATCAGCGAAAACTCTGCAACGGAATGCGACTCGCAGTTAATACATTGATGAAGATTGAAGATTGATGAAGAACTTAATGTAAGCAAAGATTTTAACGTGGTCTTTCAAAGGTGAAGAATTCCCATGATTTCATTTAATGATGATGATTCAATTTAAAAGATTGGAATTCCCAATTCGATTGACATTCGGAATCACAATCAATAATGCTCCAGGTCGAACTTTGGAAAAGTATGGTTTAGATTTAGATGCGGATTGCTTCTCAGATGTTGCGAGTTCCTGTGTCGGCAAACCAGATATCCTTGATATCTATGCAGAGAATGGAAAAATAACAAATATTGTGTGCACACGAGTACTTATTACATAACCCAACACATATGAAACGTATGCTTTGTTTCGTTAATAATTTATCGTCCATATAACAGAAATATGCCACAGCAAAGCGTGGCAGGGTACAGCTAGTAATAATAATAATAATAATAATAATAATAATAATAATAATAATAATA